GGTGGCCCACCACTCACTGACAACTTAAATAACTTTTGATCCAGTTAATATTTTTAGTTGATTTTTTTTTTAAATAATAGTTATACGTTAGGTCTATAGCTATATCTCAATAATTAATTTTTTTACATTTTATTAAAAATATTAATTATTTTTAAATTTTAAATAAAATGTAAAAAAAAAATCTAAGATAGCTATTTTGTAGAGTAGAATTTAAGAAAAATTTTAGTAAAAAAATATCTTATTAATATTCAGTAGTAAATATTCTGTAGCGTTTTGAAGTTTGTAAAAATTTGAATTTTCATGTACTATTTTACGGTTATAAACATTGAAATACGTATTGAGAAAAGGACAGAAGAAAACACTATCTTTTCATGATTACTGTGTATACATATGATGATAGTGTGTATACATTACAAACTTGACATAAATACCATGATAAGAAATTAGATAAGGCAATTATTACTTATTACTCTCATTCAAAAGTATAAAGTTTATAACAAGTTAGCAACCCTTTCACTTGGTATGGCTGGATTAGGGGGGCCTATTTGCTGTTAACAAGCAGGTATGCCCAGGCCTACCGGTCCCAACTAACCAAAGTCATAACCGACTAGGAGCAGTGTTACGTGTTTCCACACCCACTGAATTAACTAGGGTAACAAAATATTTATAAAAATTTTTACACTTAATTGATAAGGACCCATAACAAAGATATCTAAAAATAATACTTATCATGATTGAAGTTTCACTTTAAACTATTTTACTACTTTCCAAGTATTACGGACAAATTATTTGTCCTTCACCAAAATTAACTATTAAAAACTATACTAGTGTCTGATCAGCACAAACGACCCTACAGCTCAACTATGAGTATGTGGCGCGAGGATGTAAATAAGCTGATTACATACTTTTCTTAAATTAATTAAAAACATAACGAAGTTAGTCGACATTTTACCACACTTACGGCAACTTACCTTGATCTGATCTGATAATATAACTCGCGCAGAATTGTTGTAGTTACTAAATTAAATACTATTATTATTTAAATCGTTATTATTATTTCGGGTCACGTCACCACCACGTCACCACCGTCGCTCACCTAATTTGGATACCGCCAACATCTCTAGAGATCCAGTCTGGTTATATTTAAATAATATTAAATAGAAATAAATGCTTTTTATAGTTGTTAGTTGAGAGTCTATATTTATTTGTTCACGAAACCGCTAACTGCTTTTTAGTAGGATACAAATTATATAAGGCCAGTGTTGTCCCGTTTAGGTATGGCTTAGCCAACTGTTAGGAAGTATTCGAATAATTAAAACAATAATTAAACTATCACTTTTTTTACATATTACAAAGCTCAATAAAAATTCTATTCAAGAAAAATTAATTAATTCTTTTGCTCATTTAGGGAATGACAATGTATATTCAAAACGCACAAAAATATGCCCTTTTGAAAGAGGTACGACCATAAAAGCTGCTACAAATGGTGACATAGAAACATTAAAACTAGCTCACGAAAGAGGATGTGAATGGAATAAATATACCACAACTGAAGCTGCTGCAAATGGACATTTTCAATGTTTAAAATATGCACATGAAAATGGATGCCCATGGGATGAAAGCACAGCAGAAGCTGCTGCAAAATATGGGAATTTAGAAATTTTAAAATATGTTCATGAAAATGGATGTAAATGGGATGAAAATACAACTAGAGCCTCTGCAGAAAGTGGATGTTTAGAATGCTTAAAATATGCTCATAAGAATGGATGCAAGTGGGATGTGGGCACAACTACTGGTGCTGCTATGAGTGGAAATTTAGACATTTTAAAATACGCACATAAAAATAGATGTCCATGGGATGAAAGCACAACAGAAGCTGCTGCTGCTAAAGGACATTTAGAATGTCTAAAATATGCTCATGAAAATGGATGTAAATGGAATGAATTAACAACAAGAGAAGCCGCAAAAAGAGGTAGTTTGGAATGTTTAGTTTATGCTCACAAAAATGGATGTAAATGAGATGAAACAACAACAACAGAAGCTGCAAAAAGTGGTAGTTTGGAATGTTTAGTTTATGCTCACATAAATGGATGTAAATGGGATGTGGGCACAACTACTGGTGCTGCTATGAGTGGAAATTTAGACATTTTAAAATACGCACATAAAAATAGATGTCCATGGGATGAAAGCACAACAGAAGCTGCTGCTGCTAAAGGACATTTAGAATGTCTAAAATATGCTCATGAAAATGGATGTAAATGGAATGAATTAACAACAAGAGAAGCCGCAAAAAGAGGTAGTTTGGAATGTTTAGTTTATGCTCACAAAAATGGATGTAAATGAGATGAAACAACAACAACAGAAGCTGCAAAAAGTGGTAGTTTGGAATGTTTAGTTTATGCTCACATAAATGGATGTAAATGGGATGTGGGCACAACTACTGGTGCTGCTATGAGTGGAAATTTAGACATTTTAAAATACGCACATAAAAATAGATGTCCATGGGATGAAAGCACAACAGAAGCTGCTGCTGCTAAAGGACATTTAGAATGTCTAAAATATGCTCATGAAAATGGATGTAAATGGGATGAAAATACAACTAGAGCTTCTGCAGAAAGTGGATGTTTAGATTGTTTAAAATATGCTCATAAGAATGGATGCAAGTGGGATGTGGGCACAACTATTGGTGCGCCCATGAATGGTAATTTAGAAATTTTAAAATATTCACATGATAATGGATGTCCATGGGATGAGACCACAGCAGAAGCAGCGGCAAAATATGGTAATTTAGAAAACTTAAAATATGTTCATTTAAATGGGTGTAAATGGAATCATAAAACAACAAATGCTGCTGCAGAAAATGAACATTTAGATTGCTTAAAATACGCTCATGAAAATAGATGTGAATTGGATGAAAATATAAAGGAACTAGCTGCTTTTAACGGTGATTTAGAAATTTTAAAATACGCTTATCAAAATGGATGCACTTGGTCAGAAGGCACAACTAGTTCTGCTGCTTACAATGGTCATTTAGATTGTTTAATATATGCCCATGTGAATGGATGCCAATGGGATGATGGCACAACTAAAGTTGCAGCTTTAAATGGTAATTTTGATTGTTTAATATATGCTCACAAGAATGGATGCTATTGGGATGTTGGAACAACTAGAGCTGCTGCAGCATGTGGTTGTTTCGATTGTTTAAAATATGCTCATGAAAGTGGATGTAATTGGGATATAGATACAATAGTTACAGCTGCTGTTCATGGTAATTTATATTGCTTAAAATATGCTTTTGAACTTGGATATGATTGGGTGAGAGGTATTACGAGAGGGACTGCTGCAAATGGACGTTTAGAGTGCTTGAAATATGCTCATGAAAATGGTTGTGAATGGGATGAAGGCACAACAAGGGAGGCTGCTGCAAGTGGTTGTATTGACTGTTTGATATTTGCTAATGAAAATGGATATCTATGGGATGTAGGGACAAAGAGTGCCGCTGCTGCAAATGGTCATATAGATTGCCTAAAATATGTTCATGAAAATGGATGTGAGTGGGACGAAAGTACTACAAGACTTGCTGCTGCAAATTATCAATTTGATTGTATAATATACGCACATGAAAATAATTGCCCGTGGAGTAGAAATACCATTCATGAAGCTATTCAAAATAATTATATTGATATAATTTTGTATGCTATAGCAAATGGTTGTCCTAATTAATTGTCTTTTTAAATGATTCTATTTTTTAATATGTTGTCTTATTACATTATGTTTAGAGTAAATATTCTTAAAATTTGATAATTATAATTTTATTCATATTTTACATGTTTAATATTTAGTGTTTTGAAAACGTTACTGAAATCAAATACATCATATTTACATCATTTTTCGAGATTTCAATCTAACCAAATTTGAGAATGCCAAATTATTTTTAAAAAATATCTCCTCAATATTATGATACTGTGAAAAAAAAAATTTTAAATGTGCTGTTCCTTTTTTGTATGATCTTATCGAATTTTTATAAAATATATCAAAGACAATAAGCTTAGTTTTTTATTTATTTTATTAAAATGAAAACCTAAATAAAGATGAGGGAGCTGTAAGGTTTAAGCCAAACCAGAGGACCTACTATTTACCCATTGCCCAGGAGGAACAATGGACAGTGACCTAGTAGCCGAGCCAAACAAGACAGTACTTGTTGACGGAGCTGATAATCAAATAATCGTTCATCGCTCACTGATCCTCTGTGCCCGGCAAATAGCACCTAGTGCTAACGCTGATCACAGTTGTAGGTAAATGTCCTCGGAGTGAAACCACACATAGACAGTAAAGATTATATAAATTTTCAGACATAGCAGAGACAGAAGCACCAGAATCAAGAAGAGCAGTATAGAGATTAATAATGATAGAAATTTCAATTTCGGGACGAAAACTAAGAGAAGGAGAATTTTTTTAATCAAGACTTAATGGATGAGATAGAATATTTAACTGAGGAATATTGGGAGACGATCCAGAAATTGACCTCACGAGACTGGTCACTGGTCGTTTCCCGCATGTGGTGATTGGGATACATTAGGAGTACTAATTGGGAGAAGAATTGTTTGTGGAATTTTGTGGTTAACTGTTATTATAAGGAGATCGTCCATGTAATCGCTTTTGATAAGGATTATTAGGATTATGATTCTGGGGTCAATTATTTTGAGAAATGTTATAAGAATAAGAGGAGTTCATTGAAAAATTATTAGAATTAGAATGTTTTATTAAAATGTTCAGCATAGGATAAATGGTCAATTAATTCATTAAGGGTTTTAATACGATGAATTCTTAAAGGACTGGCTAGTTTCGGGAAAATGAGAAAGGATTTGGAATATAAGAGTTTCGTTTTCAATGGGAGGATTAAGACATTTTGCTTTATTAATCCATTCATGTTATGTTTTTGAAGAGTAGAGGTATCACGATGATAATAGGGACGAGAAAGTTCATTACGGATCATTAGCTGAAATGTTGGCGAAAGAGCTCAACAAAATTGAAAAAAGTATTAGGAGGAGGAGTAAGAGCATTAAAACATTGTTTGACCTCACCAGTCATTCGCCGTCGAACAATATTAATTTTGAGGTAATTAAGGATATTTTGTAATTAGAAATAATCATTAATTTCAACAAGGAAAGCTTCAGAATGAACAGGTGTTAGATTACCATTATATTCATGGATAACATCAGAAAATTTTTCTTGAAGGAGAATAGAACTATTATTTAAAGAAAAAGAAGGGCGAGGTTCAGCATTAGAGGTAGTTTGGGTAGGCAAAGAATCTTTAAACAAATTATTGGAATAAGTAGGTGGAAAGGTTGGTTGATTTGGGAAAGTTGAATGGGGATCATTATTAAATTGTTTAAGTTAAGGGGAAAAAGTGGTAGAGGACATTTGAGGACCATAAGAGAATCTAAGTTTTTTAGGAATATCAGTTTCAATTTTTTGAGATAAAGGAGGCATTACATTAGGATCAGGAATAGATAATTGAAGTTTTTGGACAGAGGATTCAAGGGAAGCTAACCTAGCAGCTTGACCTTCAACTAAGCATAACCGTTCCGATAAATTAGAAATGTCGGTTTTTAATTCGATTTGGACATCCGAAATTTCATTGTCTGTCTAGGATTTGCATTCTGCCTTGCTATTTTTAAGTACTTCTAATAATTTGGTATTGATTTCAGTCATGTCTTTTTTAAGATCCGAAAAAGAAGATTGGAATTGTTGTCGTGATTCCTCGAATTGTTTTTTAGAGTCATTTTAACCAGAATAATATATGATTAAATAAAATTTTATCAAACAGTTAACTTAAAAGTAGTATTAAGAGAGAGAAAGAACAAAAAGAAATGTATAATAGTTTAACAGCAAGATTAAATGAAAACAATTTAATAGATCAGGTTTTGAGCTAACAGATGTTAATCAAAACAACAAACTGAATTAATCAAATAAATTAATAAAAAGATAAATGGTTAACAGAAGTCAATATTAATATAACAAGGGTCTGTGTTAAAACAGTAAACACCTAATAAAAATATGTTGACAATTAACTAAGTAACTATAATAGTTAAGATGAATGGTTATAAGAACCGTGGATAGCATTAATATATAAATATAAGGATATCAAATATTATAGGTTATGGCCATAGGTGGGTCACACTAGGAGCTGTACCTCAGGTACATTTTCAATCAACATTCCATAGAAACAAAAATACATAAATAATCAGAGTAATAGGGAAAGTGAAGGGAGGGGTGGTGGGATTTAAGGCCCTCAAATCCGCGAAACGCATGGGTATGGTTAGTTGGCATATCACTGCCCAGACGATGTTTCGGCAAAACAGCGTACTACAACCCCTGAGACGTTACCATGCCACTATAACCACTTACGGGGAGATGAGTCTCATAACGGGAGAGGGGAAGTGTTGGGAGTCAAAGTTAAAAACTAAAATAACATGTAGTACTAGTACAAAGTTATAACAATATTTAAACATGGTCATGTAAAATAAAAAAAATATATAAGAACGGAGATTTAATAGAGAGAATAAAGAAAGAGATATTTTGAATAAAAATAATGGCTAAGCAAAAAGTAAAACATAGAGAAGTTTTTTTAATATTGAAAATAAGGAATGAGGGGAGTGGGCATATTAGTGTCACTAACCCCCAATTATTGGTGATAGCAGACAAACTACTATATAAAAAATGAAATTAATAAAATAATTAAATTTTCAGTTTTACTCTACTACTGTTATTTAAAAGAAGGATATGATTATCAACACAATGTAATACATAATAAGGGGAAGGGAGAAGAAAGTTAACCCATAAAAATGAAAGAAAATTAAGTAAAATATTAAAGATCAATTTAAATTCAGCTTATAACTAGTATGTGCATAGATAGGGCAAGTATATGAACAAAAGAGTTATAGTGTAAAGGTTACTTAGGCATCATTAATGATAGTACCATATAAAAGACCTGTCAATTGATCTATGCAATGCTGACCATATTTTACTTAAGTATCGACAATTTCCGCTTGTGTAACCTTTTAGTTTGTTTAATAAAAATGTTGACCATGCCTTAGTGGAAGGAAAGAAGAATATAAAATGTGGAAATTGAGCCTTACAATATATTAGATGGTAAAAAAAAAACAGCATATATATATAATAATCACAATGTGATATTTTCAGTTACGAAAAAATAACAAACAAACCAAAGCCAATGGTAAATGAAATTAGCACAAATTAATAAGGGAATAAATAACATATATTTCCTGTTTATAACTAATACATATATTATGTGGACTGTAAATCCGTTAAATAAACAATAAAAAATTATTAATAATTACCCACTGCCGCTTGAAGGTGATGAATATTATGTCGTAATACANTTAAGGCGTCTGGGTACCGACCGCTTTTTAGTCAAAAACAACCCGTTTTTGTTCCATCAGTACGACGAAACTACTGATGCGATAAGAATTCTGAAAACATATCTGAATTCAGCATCATGTCACTTAGGTATCGGTCAGGCCATATTTTTGAAATTTTGATGTTTTTAACCTTTTATTACAGTTTTCATTTTCGAATAATTTTAAAATTTTCAAAATAATTTTTTACGTTGAAGGAATCACAATTTCAAAAAGTGACCGATACCTAAGTGACATGATACTAAATTCAAACTTGTTTTCAGAATTCTTATCGCATCAGTAGTTTTTTCGTACTGATGGAACAAAAACGGGTTGTTTTGTACGCTCAAACTAATGGTTTTCAAACAGTAGCTGTTATATGTGACATGCTCGTGCGCGTATGTGCGTTATCCGCTGCAGCTATTTTATTGCTCATAGGTTGCATAGGGCAATACCGACTGTCTAAAAATAGTTACAATGCATACTTGATATTATACCTGTATATATGATATTAGATTATTTGCTTTTATCTTATTTGCAAACCTGTCATTATTACATAGTAAGAAACAAATTTTGTTGTTGTATTCCTATATAAGTGCCGCTAAAAAAATGGGGAGTCATAAAACAATATCTGGTAAGGTACGAATATATAAAAATAATTTTCATACACTTTCTTAGTTTCGATAGAAAACTGAGAAGGTATTAGTTTTACTATGATGTGTTTTTTGCTTGTGTCTATCCATATCTGTACCTATTGGACATTTATTGTTCAACGATACGCCAAAAGATCAAAAAATATATCTTGTTGATGTATTCAGCATTATCTTTTAATAATTTCTCTTTAAATCTGACACAAAAACGTGTTTTTCTCAGTCTCACACTATGTTATCAAACTAGATCTAACACTAAGTAACTGATGTTATGAATAAAATGAATTTTAAACTACATACAATAAAAAAAAGTAAATCATTTTTTTAAAAAAAGGTGGTCAGATTTGAGTGATAATGAGATATAACTTATATTTAATATAATACGAAGTGCTTAGAATTCATGAGATATAAGTGACATTTCAAAAAAAAAAATTATTTTGGTACACCATCAGACTGAAAATTAATAGTTCTTATTAGTAGAAAAAATTTGTAAATAAAAAACACATTATTGTAAAATCAAGATACCACTTCAGCTACACATGAAAATTAAAAAATAAATACAATATACATTATTTTGGTAGAATGTTTCCAATTCTCAAACTAACATTTTACTTGACATACCTCAAACAAGTAACGAGGAGAATTTAATAAA